AGAGAAGACCAGACCATGGGAGCCTACACACAGCCACCCTGGCAGGAGCAATGTGCCTTCACCAAGGGGGAAAAGAATTTCCTTTAACTTCCTTCAATTAATCACCAAAATTATTCTTAATAAAAGATGCTGGGAGTGATTTGGAATGATGTTTAATAATTGATAGTAATTTCTCATAATTAGCTATAAATTAATTCACTCACAGAGGTGTTTATTTATGGACTTTCTGGGGGGCTCTCCTTAGTTTTAAATACTGTGGGGTAAGTGACTGCCGAGGCTGTAGCAATTTCCATACTGTGTCAGTTTGCCAAATTGTATAATCCTTGGTAAAGGGCAGGGTGGTAAATAAAATTAATGCCTCTGTTTCCTATCAAGAGATACAAATTATTCAGCAAAGGGTGTCTCCCCTGCATGACGGCAAGAGTTCCCGGTCATTAATCAGGAAAGACTAGCAGAGAGGTGGTGCCCTGCCAAGCATTCTAGTTACTCCTTGGCTATTCCAGAGGCTCCCAACCCTGGGCACATGCTGGAGTCACCTGCTGAGCTTTGGGAAGCATGCTGGGACCTGGGCCACTCTTGGAGTTGGGATTTCTCAGGTGGGATCCCAGAACTTCTGAATTCTTTATAGTCCCCTGAGTGACTGAGTGGGCACCCTACTGGGATGCACTGCAGGTTGTAAATATCTCACATCTCACAGGCTCTCAGGCATCAGTGTTACCATCTGCACAATGGGGCAACCGTCTTGCAAATTCTCACCTTTGCCAAGTGCAGGAAGGTTCTATCCCTCCAGTGTTCTGTGGAAAAGAAGACTGCCATCATTGTATCTATTCTAGATAGGGGTTTGCTGTAGGAAATGAAGTGCATTTAGGCTAGTGTGGGTACCAAGTTTCTTTCTATTACTTGAATCATTTCTTTTTTTTTTTTTTAATGTTTATTTATTTTTGAGAGAGAGAGAGAGAGAGCGCACGCGCACAAGCAGGGGAGGGGCAGAGAGAGGGAGACAAAGAATCTGAAGCAGGCTCTAGGCTCTGAGCTGTCAGCCCAATGCAGGGCTCAAACTCACAAACCACAAGATCATGACCTGAGCTGAAGCCAGACACTTAACCAACAGAGCCACGCAGGTACCCCGACTTGAATCATTTCTAAAGATCTTTTGGGAGATTTAGACAGTTCTTCATGTCACTGCAGCTCCCCCCCACCCCCACCTAGGATCCCCTACCTTGGCCTGAGTGGTTTCAGTAAATCTCCCCAGGTGATTCTAAGAGGACATCTATCCTTTTTCTGACCATCCCCCGTTCCAACTGTGTACTTTGCCAGATGATTCTAGAACTTTCATCCTAGAGCCTAGAGAGCTGTCATTTGCTCACCTTTGTTCTGAAACAGCACAAAGGAACCTGCTCAGAGGGGCAAGACAGGTATCAATATTTACAAACTCCAAACTAGACAGCAGTGGGTTCAGGCAGCACACTGCGTGGAATGGACCGGCTCAGGGACATCAGGCGGCATGCTCAGTCTCTCAAAGGGAGAGCAGCTGACGCACCTCACAGTATCCATTCCCACTCACCCCATAGGAAACCCTTTGCGCAGAGAAGAAAACAGACCACTGAGGAGTGAGGGACAGGTGCCATCCTGGTTCAGGACCTCCTGTCAGCTGATGGCCCCGAATCCTACTGAGAGGAGAGTGTGATGTATGCTGACCGCTGTCTGGGTTTATCCCAGACACGGGTTCCCTGCCATGTGGGATTTTCAGTGATAAACGCAGGTCCTGGGCAAACCAGAGCAGTAGGTCACCCTTCCTTCCAGGGTCTTCTGTGATGAGCGCACAGTGTGTCCTAATGGAGTCATTTCTCTGGGCAGTTATCACCTCTCACAGGAAGAGGGCGTAACCACAGCAACCAGACTGGCCACGCCCGTTGTTGCCTCGGGGTCATTTCTGATACTCCCCACCTGGAACCCATTCTCAGAGGGCCTCCGAACTGAGCTTCACCCGGGGGCTGGCTGCAGCAGGCCACAGGGTGACACAGGACTGGGAAAGCCGGGTTGCAGGGCAGAGGGCAACTAGCAACAGGACAACAGGAAGACCTTTTCTTCATGTGTATTTGGTGTTTGTAGGAAGCAGATCTTGAAGTTCTTGGATGCTGAAAAGGACATTTCTGTCCTCAAGGGGACCCTGAAGCCCGGAGACATTATTCATTACATCTTCGACCGTGACAGCACAATGAACGTGTCCCAGAACCTCTACGATCTGCTCCCCAGAACGTCTCCGCTGAAGAACAAGCACTTCCAGACTTGTGCCATCGTGGGCAACTCGGGGGTCTTGCTGAACAGCGGCTGCGGGCAGGAGATTGACACGCACAGCTTTGTCATAAGGTAACGGCTGCAGGGGCTCTGGGCCCAGAGCGACAGGCAGGTTGAAGTTGAGCCTGGCCACTTGTCCCAGTGTCTCTGCAACCAGAGACACTGCTTGGGTTTGTCCCCATTCTCAACCTTGTGCATTAGAATTTCTTCAGGTGCCTTTAAAAGTCCTGGTGTCCAGACTGCACCCCAGTCCGATTAAATCAACCTGAAGGGTCAGGGGCATGTGGCCCAGAATGCTTCTGGTGAACAGCCAAGGTTGAGAATCTCTAATCTGACACAGAGGTAGGCAGACTATGGCCCACAGCCTGCTTTTGTCAATAAGGTTTTACTGGAACACAGTCACGCCCATTCATTTTCATATCCTCAATGGCTGCTTTCTCTCTGCAAAGTTCGATTAGTTGGGCAGGGTTGAAGAGTTGCAACAGAGAGAGCGTATACCAGAAGCCTTTATATCAGGTCCTTACAGAAAAAGTTTGCTGAGCCTTAGATAAAGCCCGGGCTGACCAGTTAGTTGGTTCAAGTTTGCAAATCTCTTTTAAGTATTCGTGAAGGTGGTGCTCTGCTCGTAACTATTATCCTGCAGTCAAAATCTGGAAAGTGAAGGGGTGACAGAGAAACTTGGGCTTCAACTTGACCATCATTCTGCTGAAATATCAGCTCTCATTGTTCAGTCTCCGGGGACACATTTGGACACAGTTGCCAGTGGCCCTGATACCTGACCCCCAACCCAGACAGACTTGGAAACAAGGCCTTGCTGTCCTCTGGTCAGAAGTAGGGCACACAGAGCCTCGAGTTTCGTCCCCAAACAGTGCCCCAGCCCTGGCAGAAGTGCATACGGCATCTCACGTTTCCATCGGGGCTGTCCTGATGCAAAGAGAGCCTTGTCCTGAGGCTTTGGGAAATGGCCTTTATCACAGAATTCCCTGGGCCTCGGGACATGGGATTTTAGAAGGTGTGTTTAGTCCTGCGTCCACTCTCATGGAAGAGCCACCGCAACCTAGCAGCCGAACTTGTGTTAGTGTCCCAGGCTTTGTCTGTGCCTGGCATAGCCAGTGGCTCAGTCCTTCCGGTCTAAAGACTCAGGGACAGAGGGGGAGAAGAAGGCAGGCAGAAAGCGGAGCAAATGTCTGACAGAAGCCGAAGGAGGGTCAGGGGGAGCGAAGGGGACAGAGGTGTTAAAGGTGCAGGCGGAGGGTAAAAGCAGGGGTGCCAGGCAGCATGGAGGGAGGCCTTTCTGATTTGGTGTCACACATATAAGCCATGCCTTTGTCACTAGTTTTGATGACAAGGTTTCCCTCTCTGAACTAGCCCTGCCCTAGCAATTTCCAAAGGCAACGGCTGATTCCAGCCAGAACTTTCCCTTGTGGGCACTGACACAGCAAGATGAGCAGTGTGGCGTCAGAGTCCCATCTTGGCTCTGTGGCTCATTTTTGTCACACGACTCGGGAGTGTGTCACTGCCCTTTCTGGACCTCTGTTTCACCCTCTGTAAATGGAGCGGGTTGGACTTGTTGTCTCTGAGGTCCTTCTGTTAGGAATACCGGCTGTGCTCTGGGCCAGACCCAGCAAACTTTGACCTTCACAGGAGCCCCCTGAGCTTATTCCAAGGGCAGAGTCATCCAGTCTGGGGCGGGGCCTAAGACCATGCATATCTAATGCCCTCCCTGCTGCTGTGCGGGCTGTACTTGGAAAGCCATGCTTTGCCTCTCCCGGGGGTCCTGTCCACACCTGTCCACACGTGCTTAGAAAAGAGGGAGCTGAAGCACCAAGGAGAGAGCGCCTCAGAACAACGCACAGTTGTCCTTCGAGCTTTACACTCTGCACGTGGCTCTCACACACCTGTGTGTTTGGGGGGTGGACTTGAGTGGTCTTTTAGGACAAGATCACAAAGCTGTTCCGGGTACAGACCCCGGCTGGTGCCGAGTGGCAGCACTGACTCCTCCGCCCCAGTGGGGCCATTCCTCTGGGCTCTTCCCATCTGGAGGATCATCCGTGTCCTCCCCCGGGGGGATCCCACAGGCCAAAGGCCCCAAAAAGAGTAAACGGGGTGTGATGCTATGGCCACTGCCTGAGTTGGCATGTGTGAGTGTGCCTGGGCCATGTCTCCCACAACAAAGCACAAGTGTTCATCTCCCCCGCTGCCTTTCCCTTGGGGTGCAGGGAGGTCACCCCACAATTCCACACCATCTCTCCTGTACCATTTGCCTCTGCAAATGAGAACTCTCCGTGGACCCTGTGTCTCCACCCCACCTGCCTCACACTGACCATGAGCTCCCCTAAAGCGGACTGCTTGTGTCCATCCCTGAACGCCAGCCCAAGCCTGTGCCTGGCATAGATGAGGGGCTCGGGCTCAGGCTCGTAGCAGCTTCGCTGAGAGAACAGATGCCCGGAGGGTTCTGATGGGATGTTCTTTGTCTCCATCAATTGAAGTCTTCAATCACTTTGCCTTGCTCTGTGTCATTTGGGCCCCTCTTCTGCATGGGAGACAACAAGACCTTGCCCCCTCTCAGAAAACTCAACACTGAACCATGGGAAGACACCCCCATGCAAAATGCAATGAGGTTGCAAACTACACAGCCTCCTGGGGGACCTGAGGGCAGGCTTCTGGAAGAAGGTGGCTGAGTTTAGCACATGAAAATGGTGAGCATGAGGACATAGTGTGAGGAAAGCCATGGAAGCAAGAAGCTAGACTCATGGATCATGGAAGCTGGTGCCTGAGTGAGCCTACGTTGTCTCGGGTGTGGCTGGGAAATGGGGCCAGACAGGAGGGCTGGTCCCCACAGGGTCCCCGTGAGCCTGCAATGGCAGGTTGAAGAGACTACCTAACTCAGGGTCATATATGTACAGAGTATATTCCCAGATGTTTAGGGATCAAAACTTCACTGTTTGCTCACATTCACATGTGTGCGCATGGACACACACACACACACACACACACACACACACACACACACACTTTCAATAGGGAGAGTCTTATGAACAAACGCCCTTTCACAGATAAATCCCCATCATTATCATCATGCTCATTAGTTACTTAGCATACACCAGGTGCAAATCTATGCACTTCATGTTTATTAACTTATTTTATTCTTGCAACAACCCTGTCAGGAATGTTCTATCTTGCGCTGGCTTTTGCAGGGAGGAAATTGAGGCTGAGAGAACCAGAGGTCCATGGCACACTCGGGCCAGGCTCAGGTTGTGGGCCTCACCCTGTGCCTGTGGACATGCCTGTTTCTGGAATGGACGGACTCTTGTCCAGCCCACCCACAGCCCACCCAGAATTTGCTTTGGGAGGCCGGGCCTGCTGTGGGATAAGATAGAGCTGAGCAGACTTACTCTAATGTCTCCATCATCCTCACTCAAGAAGTGGCCCTGGACATGGTCATGGGAAAATCCTGGCCTTTGCAGCCTTCCCCTCCCTGGAATACCTTCCATTAGCTGGGTCCCATGTTGAATGAGGTTGGGAGCCTGCCCCAGGGAGGTTGAAGCCCCAGGGCTCCCCAGAGTCTATCGCACCTTACTTGGACGATATCCCAAGTGACCAGTATTGTAGCTGGGTAAGGACTTCCGTGGTTCCTCTCCCCTAACCACCCCAGAAGCCTCCTGGGGTCAGGCTCCACATCAGTTCCTTCTCTGCCTCTCCCACAGCCCTCACTGGCCCACGATAGACTCAGTACACCTGAACTGCACTGAGGACCCTGCTCTCAGGACCTGGTGGTTGGCCTGGAAGAGGCCCCAGGCCTT